TTGGCAGGAGGGCCCAGCCTGTGAGCCAGAAGGACCATTAAGCTGGAAAAGAGGAGATCCTGAGAGAGGATCAGAACTGGAATACATGCATGAACATTCTTAAGGAACAACTAGAACTGAAATGAGAGAGCTTGAGGTTAGACAAGAGACAGGACTTCCCCATTCTGGAGGCTCAGGAAGAAGCACAGTGGCTGAGCAAAAGCCAAGGCACTCCTGCCTGAAGTTGAAGGAGCTTTGAAAAAAAAAAAAAATCATCATTTTGAATTTATCTCCAGCTTCCAAAGTTTCAGAGTGTTTGCCTGATCCTCATTTTATTTCATCCTTATAACAAGCCCTTAATGTGTGCAACAGTGTAGCTTATCAAGCAGAGAGATAAGCATTGTGACTGCCCTCCGACGTGGGGAGGGAAAAAGGTTCTGAGGCCTAAGTTGCCCAGCAGAGGCACAGGGACCTGGGCTAGACTCTCTCATGGAAGTCTCAGGTTATCGGCTTTCCCTCACCCTCTCGAGGCTTAGCAAGTCTGCATATTTTTGACGCTGAGGTTTGATGCTAATTTCTTTACTTGCTAAGAAAAACACGAGAAATGAAGAGTAGGAGAGGTTTCCCATACTATGGAGTGCAGTGACACCCAAGTGTTGCCTTCACCTCTGGTACTAGACTAGGGCCAGCTCAGAGGTGAACAGAGAGCATTCTCTCCTAGGCAGGAAGGAAGACTCAGGAACCAGAGGGGCTGGGTCTCAGATGGATCCTGGGCTTCCATCAAAGGCAGACGCCTCTTTGACCCCATCTGGGCAGCAGCCCTTTTGTCCGATGTGCCAGACCACCCCCCTCTCCATTCTTACTCCAGCCCCGGCCCATCTCTGCCTTGCCCCAAGCCTGCAAACAATGCGTTGTTGACAATCGTGGGGGCTAAACACTCGATAACACGGTCCCCACCACACCAGACATCCTAACAGCGGGCAGGGCCTGTGCGCTGTGACGGAAGTGCTTTGAATACATCATTCTGTCAACTGAGTTATTATTCTTTTGCTCAAGATAAACTGCAGCCGCCAAACGAGGGGCTGTATAAATTCCAGGCTCAGAAGTCGAGCAGCCCCACTCCTTGTTAAACACTCACTCACACACACCACATTCACATAAATCCCTGCTGAGAAAATACCACCCCGCCGCGGCCCCACAGGTCTCTTGGGGGCTCAGTAGCCTCTATCTCATGGGTGGTCCTGGGAGCAGCTGCAGACATCAGGGGACCCAAGGCTTGGGCCTGCCCTTGGGCCACTTCCCTGGCTAAGGTTGAGCTGACTCCCCCTCCAGAGAAGGTCTCCCCACAGAAGCCAGCTGTCTTTGGGTCAAACCAGCGTCTTGACTCCCGAACTTCTGTCTGTCCAAGGCTACAGCCCTGCTGTGGGTGGCCAGGGCACCCACATGCCTGTTCTGCGGAGGAGATAGGCTTCAGACCCAAGGGTGGCCAGGCACAGAAAGCGAACCCCAGTGAAGGCTTCAGAAAACAATCAGCATCCATCCTGGGGAAAGGGGACTCCATGAACCACCACTGCCCACCCCCACACAGAGGAAACGCCGAGAATCCACGTCACCTCCACATGCGGCAGAAAGGGGATCTCCTGCCCAGAGCACACACCCAGCCCATTCTTCTCAGGGGCCCAAGCTATTCACAGCTGGGGGGGAGGGGTCCTGTGGGCTTCGTTTCCATCTTGCCCTGTCTCACTTGGGACTTAGAATTAAACAAAAACAAGCGCCGGGCCGGTGGCTCAAGCCTGTAATCCAGCACTTTGGGAGGCCGAGGCGGGCGGATCACAAGGTCAGGAGATCGAGACCACAGTGAAACCCCGTCTCTACTAAAAATACAAAAAACTAGCCGGGCGCTGTGGCGGGGCGCCTGTAGTCCCAGCTACTCAGGAGGCTGAGGCAGGAGAATGGCGGAACCCGGGAGCGGAGCTTGCAGTGAGCCGAGATCGCGCCACTGCACTCCAGCCTGGGCAACAGCGTGAGACTCCGTTCCAAAAAAAAAAAAAAATAAAAAAAAATAAACAAAAACAAAACTGAAAATTCCATTTAGAATTAAAACAAAAACAAAAAACTGAAAAAAACGCCATGCTGGGTGCAGGACTTAATAGGAAGCAGCAGAGTGCAGTGGAAGGAGCATGAGCTTTTGGCCCAGACCTGGATTTCACTCCCAAACTATCAGTTTCCCCCCCATAAATATGAGGGTACAATTTCTACTGTGCGTCAGTACTGTCACGAGCCTGGAGTCAAAGCGAGGCTGTTTTCCCGTTCGCAATGCCCCTTTCCTATTCACAGCCAGGCCAGAAGTTCAGCATTACTATCCCCATCTTATGGAGGAGGAGACTAAACAACCAAGCAGAGTCCAGAGCATCTCAGGTTTAAGCTCGTTTCACGTTCTAACTCCAAAGCATGATTATCACAATAATTTAGCACCTGCTGTATGCAGGGGAACGCACGGATTGTGAGGAACATATAGGAGTTTGACTTGGCCCTGAGATACCCCCCCACCTCCCACCCTAGAGTATGGGCTCTGTCAGGGCAGGGGGCTGTCTTCTCCAGGGCATGTCTCCCCTTGCTTAAATAAGACCTCAAGCGACTAGCAGGCGAAGCCCTGGATTTGGATTAAGGACTTTGGTCTCACCACAGTTTTAGCTACATTATCCCAGGCAGGCTGCTTGATCTCTCTGAACCTCATTTCTCCTCTCCCATAGGGTGGAGTCCTCTGGAGGAGGCTGAAGACTGCCAATTCCAAGGGGCCTGCTCAGGCAGAGGGGATCTTACTATTCCAAATCAAGAAAGGGTAAAACCAAGATGTCAAAAGCCCTGCTGGTTGGAAACAAATTCTGCCTCCACCAGGCGGATGGCTGCTACCCACGTACAGGTTCCTAAACCTGGGAACAAGATCATCCAATGCTTGGGGACTCCCACTCTTCTTCCCCACCAGGACAGCAGGTGGAAGACCTGTGGAGCTGAAAAGGCTCCACTGGTGCTCAGCCCTAACCCCTGCCTCACTGGCACCAGGCACTCGGACTCCTCAGACTCAGAGCCAGGGTGGGGCAGCCCCCCTCACAGGTCCTAAAAATAGATTACAGACTTGCACCAGGAGCTTGCGGCCATTCAGGGACATTGCTTTGGGGGAAGAAAAGGACCCAATTGATGGTACCTAGCACTTGAAGCGTGTCGTCAGAGACTGGAGCTCCAGGGAACTGGAAAATTATGCTTCAGAGGTTCCCAAGGGAATGACGGCCTGAATCCCACCCCTCCCCACAAATAAAGCTCCTTGGACCTGTTTCGTATTTTGGGCTCCACTTAGGACCTAACTGAATGAAAGATTCTACTGCTAAAAAGCTAGTGAGAAGTTCACTGATGGAGTTCAAGCCTCTTATTTCACACACGAAGAGACTGGGCTTCGGAGAGAACAGGCGAATTCAGTGGCTCAGAGATCAGAGCAGAACTAGAGTTAGGCTCCTGGACAAGCGCTTGCTCCTCCAGCCTCGCCTGTCCGCAGTCATTCCCCAGTGGGTCACCAAAACTGGTGTCATAAAGATTCTGTCAAAATCACCGAGGCAGCTTATCAGAATTTGAAACCTGGTTATCTGGATTCTTTGTAAGTTCCTTGGGTGATTCTAATCCATACCTGAGACTGGGAACCCATGCTCTGGGCCAAGAAGGGTGCTCCCAAATCAGTAATATAGAGCCACAGGCCTGGAGTGTGACCTTCGGTGGATTACTTTTCTCTGTATCTCAATTTCCTCATTAGCTAGAGAATAACAAGAGTGCCTGGTACCCGGCATTGTTGTAATGTCAAAAGAGTTGGCCTATGACTGACACAGGCCTCATCTTCTACACTGTGCCACACTGCTCTTTCCTCCCTGTGCTCCAGCCACAGCAGCTCCCTGTCTGTCCTTGAACTCAGCAAGCACGTTTCTGTCCCAAGGCCTTCACAATTACTATTCCCTCTGCCTGTCATTTTGTCCTCCAAATAGTCTCATGCTAGTCTCCAAATGTCCCACCCATAGCTCCTTCAGGGGCCTGTCCAAATGTCACTGAATCAGAGGCTTTCAGCTATCCACGCTTTCTCCTCATTTACTTTTTACCACCTCACCTATTTTCTTTTCTTCTCTCTCTCTCTTTTTTTTTTTTTTTTCTTTGTTGAGACCGGGCCTCCCTCTGTCGCCCAGGCTGAAGTAACATGGCTCACTCCTCCCTCAACCTCCTGAGCTTAAGCAATCCTTCCACCTCAGCCTCCTGAGTAGCTGAGATGACAGGTGTGTGCCACCATGCCCAGCTAATTTCTTGATTTTTTGTAGGGATGGGGTTTCCCTATGTTGCCCAGGCTGGCATTGAACTCCTAGGCTCAAGCCATCCTCTCACCTCGCCTGCCTATTTTCTGTGTACTCACTTCTTGGTTTATTGTCTGTGTCTCCCACTAAAACGGGAGCTCCCTGAGCACAGGGACTTTGCCTTGCTTACTGCCATATCCTCAGCACCTAGAAGAGTGCCTGGCACTCAGCAAATATTATTGATTGAATGAATGAAAAGAAAGTACTTAAGTTGTGCCAGGTACAAAGTAGGCATCTACTATATGCAGTTCAGTTACTATTTTCATTCACATTTTCACCTAGATTGGGATGTGGTAAAGGCCAAATATGGGGCACGTCTCTACCCCTAAGGGTGGAAGAAAAAGGAAAGGTGCATCTCACAGGCTAAAGTAGGCCCACATGAGATGTGCGTGACCTCAGGTAGCTATGACCATATCCCTGAGTCCCGGTTTCCTGTTCCATCAAATGGGACACCCATGCTTGTTCTGTGTTTCGCCATTGCTGAGAAGGGTATTCAGGCAGCCATGTCTCTGCTGTTATTTTGGCTCTTAGCTCAGAAGCAGATGGGACCCAAGGACAGATACCTGAGTGAGGTCACAACTGAGGGATCTAATGTCACCCTGACACGAGAGCAGAGTGGTCACCTCCTTAGTGATACAGACACAAGGACAGCCCCCTCACCAACAGGGCACATGCTGAGAGCTGCTGACAGGTAAAAAGATGCCTCACATGGCTCCCTCCCTGCCACCACCTCCTCACACTCAGCTTCTGTTGACTGTACTGAGGCAACTGGGAGATCGCTGTCGGTAAGGTACAGGCCCTGCTGGGCTACAACACACAAGGCCGCCCCCAGTGCCACCGTCAGCCCAGCTCTGGCGGTCTGCCCAGCCTGGAGGTAAACTTGCACTGGGGATTGGCTTCTGGAATATTCTCCCCACCCCACCCAAGGGCCAGGGACTTCCAGGGAGCCTATAAGTGCCTTCGGGGTGGTATACAAAGTTGACAGGTCTGGTCCTTCCCTTCCTGGCCTGCTCATCCCTGCCCCCTCCCCTCACTACATGGATTCAGATGACACGAATGAATAAGTGAATGAATGAAAGAGTAACTTTTCCAGACTTGACCCCAAGCACCAGGCCTCAGCTACATCTGCCTCTTGCTTGTTGTGGGCAAAGGCAGCAGTTCAACATAGAAGATGTTTGTGAGGGTTTGATTATAGGATGCTCAGTTCCTCCCCAGGGAGCCCATGGACTCTGGGGGACATGGCACAGAAGGAGTTGCTAGGCTAGAGTCTGCTCATGTTGGAAGGCACAGAAGAGCCACCTGGAGAAGGGGTTCTGGGAGGAGGGGATACTCACTAAAGTGAGGCTCCTAGGCTGAATCTTTTTTTTTTTTTTTTTTTTTTTTTTGAGACAGAGTTTCGCTCTCATTGCCCAGGCTGGAGTGCAATGGCGCAATCTCGGCTCACTGCAACCTCCACCTCCCGAGTTCAAGCGATTCTCCTGTCTCAGCCTTCCGAGTAGCTGGGATTACAGGTGCCCACCACCACACCTGGCTTTTGTATTTTTAGTAGAGACGGAGTTTCACCACGTTGGTCAGGCTGGTGTCAAACTCCTGATCTCAAGTGATCCACCCACCTCGGCCTCCCAAAGTGCTGGGATTACAGGTGTGAGCCACCGTGCCCAACCTCTAAGGCTGAATCTAAGTTGGCCAGGTGAACAAAGGGAAGGGCAATCCGGGCAATGGGAACAGCTTGCCCAAAGGTGTGGAAGTATGAAATAGCCTGGGGTTTGCTGGGAAGGACCAATGATTCAGGGTAGCTTGGGCTGCACGTAGTAGGAAGTGGCTGGGAGAAAAAAGCAGGGCCCAGGCTTGGGGAGCCTGTGGAACCTGTTAGGCCCTGGGACATTGGGACGGGGTGCCTTTGATGGGGTTCAAGCAGGGGAAGAGTGTGATCAGCCACAATTTTTAGCAAGGTCCTGTGGCTGCAAAGGAGCAAAGAGATCTGAGGGGCCAGGACTGGAGGTCTCTACAGTAGTCCAAGGGAGTGATGCTGGGGTCTGAGCGAAGGCAGTGCTGGTTGGGATTCCCTCCCGATCTCCTCTCCTTGCTTGTTGAGAATACCTACTTCTCTCTGTCGGTTTGGTCCAGTCCCTCAGTCAACAGAATGTAGGTGTGAGGAGGTGCTGATGGGGATGAAACTGAGGCCCAGAGAGAAGATACGGGAGCCCCAGAGCAGTTGAGGGCCACAGTTCAGAAGGCAGCTGCAATATCTCTCCTGGAGCCAGGTCTTATCCAAAGAAACTTTCCTACAAGGCAATGGCTTCAATTCTGTGCTTTTCCTTTCAAGAGAGAACTGAGTTCATTGAACTTACGGGCAAATCTATATCCTTGTCCTTCCTTTGCGGAGATAATAAAGTTAATGGGATTATTTCCTGTGTACAAGAATAGGGCTGCTAAGGAAACATTGTCGAGTAAATGCTGTTTGCAAAGGCTAAACTGAAAGGCCAAATCTTCCACGGGGAGGAAGTAAAGGGTGTGTCTGCACAGGCTCACGGGGAGCAGTGCCACCGGCGACTTGATTTGCCTGAGCCTGACTTCCCCTCTGCCTCACTGGGCTCTGATTCATGCAGACGGCCAGATGGCAGGGTTGCCAGGCCCATTTCCCTGGTCTCCAAGGTAGCAGGTGAGTTGGCTAGTTGGTTAGTTTTTGGAAAAACAGAGTTTACCTTAGACTGAGAGAAGGCCCCAGCTGAACTTTAAAGATTGGATAACTTTTCTCCTTGAATATGGAGAAACTGAGGATGCAGAGGGGGAGCTGGTCTCAGGTCACGTGGCCAGTTGTGGCAAGGCCTGGTGGGGAAGGAGACACAGAGATGGAAAATAACTTGCCTGGGTCATAGAGCCAGCAGCTGGGTTGTAGTGGGGAAGCTGAGGCCCAGAGAGAAGGAATGGCTTGCCAGGCTCCTACAGCCTCCCAGTGTCAAAGTTTGGGATGGAACCAGGTCTTCAACTCCCAGGAGAGAGCGTGCTCTGTCATCAGCCTGAGCTGCCATCCTCCCCTACCACAGAGACAGCTAAGGGAATCACTCAGGTGCATTCCTGTTTGCGGAGTCTCAGTCATCCCTGACTGGCTCGCCACACCTCAAGCCCAGCAGCCCCTTTAGATCTTATCAGCACAGCCCCCACGATGGCTCCTCACGTAGACCATCCTCAAACAGCATCCGTGTGCACAGGTGCACCAGGTGGGTGGAGCTGAGGGACATTCCAGCAGAGGGTAGACAATGGCTGGGTTAAGAGGGCTATCTTCTTTTCACACCTCCTGATTTCCTTGAGTTTGTAAATCATTATCCCAGGCTACACAAAGCAGGTATTGAGTAGGCCTTGTTGCTGTCCCTAGACACAGTAGACAGAGGCTACTCGGCTCCGAGTGGCGGGTGGCAGCTCCCGGGCCCTCTGTCCCCTTCCCGGCACTGGGATTGGGTTACCCCATCTAATCCCTGCTCCTCCATCCACTCTCTTTGTGGCCATTGTAATTTATAATCGAGGGGCATGATGCAACCTGCTAATTACATTGCTTGATTTTGAACACATCCCGGCTTCTCTGACTCAGGCGGCAGAGGGAGGAGGGAGCAGCAGGCACTGCTTTGTGGCTTATCAGGCTTGGGTTATTCCGCTCACACCCGCTCACGCCTCCCCCCATCCCTCAGCCTTTGTTAACCAGGGCTTGCATCACCTCCTGCTTTCCATTTCCCCAGAATTTTTTAACGGCTTTTTTTTTTTTATGAGCCGCTCTGTCTTGTTAGCTAATGAATGATTGTGGAGCAGATGGGGATCGCTTTGTGCCTCTATTAAATGTTACATGATTGCAATTATGAGTTAACAAGGGACAGCTAATAAAAAAAATAATTTTTGAGGCCTGAGGCAGACATGAGACTCGTTGCCTGGTTCCCAGGCTGAATAAATCAGAGCCCCAAGGACCACAGGCTGGACAAGGAATCGAACAAGGAAAGGATAGATGTTTGCAGGCCCCCGGGAAGTACGGCAGGCTGGAGGGCAACAGGTCCATCCCCAGGCCTCTTTTGAAGCCTTCCCACCTACGTGGAGTGTTTTAGGCCCAGAGGCAGGTGTCTGGACTATTGCAGTTGCTTCTTATCAGCCCTTCCTGTGTCCACCATTGTCCTGCAACCCCTTCTCCACATCACAGCTGAGTGATCTTTCAAAGATAGAGCTGGTCAGCCCGGGCGCGGTGGCTCGTGCCTGTAACCCCAGCACTTTGGGAGGCCAAGGAGGGAGATCACCTGAGGTCGGGAGTTGGAGACCGGCCTTACCAACATGGAGAAACCCTATCTCTACTAAAATTACAAAATGAGCCGGGCGTGGTGGCGCATGCCTGTAGTCCCAGCTACTCGGGAAGCTGAGGCAGGAGAATCACTTGAACCCGGGAGGTGGAGGTTGTGGTGAGCCGAGATTGCGCCACTGCACTCCGGCCTGGGCAACAGAGTGAGACTTCATCTCAAAAAAAAAAAAAAGATAGAGCTGGTCATGCTGCTACCCTGCTCAAACTCCCTCAGTGGCAGCCCAAGACCTCCCTTCAGCACTGGCTCCTCATTTCAACTTTCTGCTTTCAATTAGCCTATTCCCACATCCTGACTGTCCTCACCAAAACTTGTTCAGAATAGGGTGAGGCCCTGGAAAACAAGCGACACCAAGAATAGGCAGATGAGGGCCTGAGCAGTGGGATGGGTGATGAACTGAGCACGGAGGGCCTGCAGCTGCTGTCCCTTTCCTCGGACTTACTCAGCAATGCCCAGGACCATCACACACAGACATGGAGTGGCGCGGGCCTCTTCGTCACTGATCCAAGGAGGCAGACAGGCACCTGGCCTGGGATCTTCCCTTGAGGGTTGCTGTCATGTGTCCCAAGGCTTTGCAGATGCTGGGTATACAGGCCAGGCGCAGTGGCCCACGTCTGTAATCCCAGCACTTTGGGAGGCTGAAGCAGGCAGATCTCTTGAGCCCAGTTCAAGACCAGCCTGGGCCGCATGGCAAAACCTCATCTCCACAAAAATAAGCCAGGCATGGTGGTGTGAGCCTGTAGTCCCAGCTACTTGAGAGGCTGAGGTGGGAGGATCACTTGAGCCTGGGAGGCAGAGGTTGCAGTAAGCCAAGATGGTGCCACTGTACTCTAGCCTGGGTGACAGAGCAAGACTCTGTATCAATAAACAAACAAATAAATACATACACAATAATAAGAAGAGGCACCCATGATGTCCAAACAGGGGTGCCACAACCCATCAAGAAGACCCCAACTCATGCCCTGAGGACTGAGCCTAGACCTGTGAACACAGCTCACAGTGCTAACCACAATCCCGGGACATGGCAGAATTTGTGTGGGGGGTGTCCGGTGGGCAGAGAAACAAGACTCCTGGGCCCTGGTGTAGGCAAGTCACATCCCCTACCTGGGCCTCGGTTTCTCTATTTGGGCATGCACTCCATTCTAGTTAAGCTTCTTACACTTCTGCTTACAGCCACCCCCACTGATCCCCTGCCTCCCCGAGACTGTGAGCTCCTTCACAAAAGCTATCTTTTCTGGCTCGGCTTCTAGTAGGCACTCAGTAAATGGTGAATTAACGAGCAGCTAAAACTAAATGCTCTCCAGGCACCCACTCTGTGCCAGGCTTGTTACCAGGTGTTTCCTATATGTTACCAGGAATCCTCCCACCAACACTGCGGGGAGGACTTCTGAATCCCCATGTTACAGCTGAAGCAACTGAGGTTCAGAGAGCTTAGCACTGACGTGCCTTAGAATGGGGCTGGGATGAGAAGTCTGTATGTGGGCTCTAAGCCAGAAGCTGAGTATAAGCTGAAGTCCTCCTTCCTGGGCTTCTCATGCCCTGGCAACAGCAGGCAAGTGACCATGGGGTGGGAGCCAGCAAGGCCGACCACAGGCTGGGCGACAGAAGGAACACAGACTGAAGACACCACCGAAGTGCATCTTCAAACACTGCGGCTGCACTGTGGGCGCTGGGAAACCACAGCCGCCCACATCTCAGCAGTCTGGGCCAGCCCAGGGCAGGAGGCCGAGCTGGCAGTGGCAGGGCCGCGGAGGGGCATGCAGGCAGCAGGAAGTGGGGTGGGGGCAGGGCTGTGCCAATCACCCACAGAAAGCCTCAGCCAATGGCAGAACCAGCTGCATAATTTGTGGGGCCCTTGTTCGAAAGCTGTTAAGAATTTCAAGACGGCAACAGCAGAGTGTTAAGCCAAGCACAGGGTCTTTCTAAGGGGTGGGCCGTTCCGGTTTTATGTCCATGAAGCCACTCCTGGCCAGGGTCATTTGCGCAGCTCCCAGTTTAAGGGTTTGCGGCATGGCACTTGGGTAGTAGAAGCCGCCATACAAAAGGTCTGGCCCCCTCCCTGCCTGGGCAAGGCCCATGTAACCCATTGTGTGGAGTATGGCAGGGCTGGCAGAGGGGCTGGGCAGCAAGAAGGCTTATGCTGTGCCCCTCTGTGCAGGAGTGTGGACAAGCCAGGCCTGGGCACTGCTATGTCAGCAGGTGCTGGGTATACAGGGGGTGCTTAATAAATACACAATGATCCAAAGGGATGGCAGGCATTCGGGGTTGCGCCTGCCCGGTGACTCACACTCCCCTGGCTGCCCAGGGACACTATGTGGTTGCTTCCATGGTGAGTATGTTGGGGAAGGGACCTGAGCCCTCCCAAAGGCATCCAGAGTCTGTGGCTGGGCCACCCCCAGACCTCAAACCTGCAAGAGAGCCCAGGTCTGCAGGTACCCAGAACTAGGCAGGGAGCTGGGCTTCCAGAGGCGGGTACACCATCGGCAGAGAGGAACTTGGAGCCTGCATCCCCAGGCCAACTTTTGGCAGTGGGGATGACTGTGCTCACTGACTCATGGCCCTCTCTGCCCTGCACATGGCCCTCTTAAGGGGCTGGGTCGAGCCTCCATTTGAGTCTTTCACCATAGTACCCAGCATAAGGCCCTGCATACAGTAGGCACTCAGGAGATACTGGTTGAGTGAACACTTGCTATCATGAGAGAACATCCACTCTGCCTTGCTTGTCCTAGGACTGACCCCGAGTTTGGGGGCCAGGGAAAGGAAGTGCAGTATGCTCTTGGTTAGCAAGGTAGCAGGATATGCTCCATCCACATAAGGGTTTGGGTGTGTGCAGTGTGAGAAGTTTGTGTGTCTCAGTGTGGGAAGGTGCCTGGGGAATGCACAAGTATAGGGTGGCCTCATGGATAGGCATACATGCATATGTATCCATGTGCTCAGGTATGTGTGTAGGCACTTAGGACGTGCACATGTGTGGGTGGGGCAGGTACAGGGGATGTATTCACTCATGCATATTTGT